AAAAACCATTCGGTATCAATTTCGACTCCAGATCACCTCATGAAGATGTGCTAGTCACATTCCTCGTCGACGTTGAACTACAATCAATGGGCGGCCCAGCAGCTCGAACACCTCTTCCCATTGGAATTCAACGAATCAAGTCGGAACCCGACATGGACATCAGTTCACTGTTCAGCAATCGTTATGCGTACGAAAACGAGGCCTACGAGGTAATTACCCGAACGCTTGACGAATGGATTCCTAAAAAATCGATTATCGATTTTAGATGGGCTACAGTGTCGAGCGCGTAGCATCGGTGGAACAGTTAGCATCTGCACTTCGACGATACCTTTTCGCAACAGTACACTGGATTGAAGCTCTATTTTCATTGGCACAGATGGAAAACGTAGCAGAGAAGGTAAACATAGAACTTCATATCAGTGCTCTCCGGTTCATGGACTATGTTTAGGTTGCCGTTCTAAAAAGTGTCTTTGCTCCATATACAATTCTCTGCCAAGCTGCGCGAACTGCTCAGGTAAATCTATAGCTTGAATCTCTCTTGTAAAGGAAGTTAGTGTAGATTGGAGATACGACAATTCTGCAACCATACCCTTTGCAGCTTTCACGTGATATGGATGTGATCTGTTTGTGCAATCGGACAACTATTCCAAGGCAACCACCTCGTCACCTCCTAGAAACAAAGTGGGTATCCCATAGAACTTTGCCAATGACCTCATCACAATGTTGTACTTCCAGTCTTCTTGCCAATAATCTTGTCCCACGAGTGCTCGACGATCTTGTGGCACCAATGCGCAAGCTATCGCTTAGCGAAGCCGAAATTGTTGTTCTATCTGCACTCGTAGTTCTTGATCCAGGTAAGGCTTACTTTCCTTTCTTCACTTTCCATTCCATTCTCCTCTAAATCTTTGAAGCTGTGCAATCTACCCTATTCAGATTCTCCTGGTCTTTCGGAGTCATCATCGCTGGCCCTTAGCCAGTTACGCGACAGGGTCCAGAACGCTCTATTCCAGCTGATCCGCGAAAACTCATCTGCGTTGCATACCGTAACGAGCCGCTTCGGGAATATTCTATTGCTTCTACCACCACTTGCGGTAAACAATGTTCAACTCT